CTTAGCGGAAAGGTAAGTTACAAAGGTGCTGCAACATAAGAAGACGAAGAGATTACTAGAAGAATTCACACCACGAACATAAGAAAATCTTTAAGCCTCTGCAAAATAACAATTATAATAAGATTCATCGAACCACCCCTTTGTAACCATCCGTTGCAGTGATACATCTGGGCAGTGGCACGGATCTAAACTTTATCCATTTCTTTTGCTCTGGACTTTCTGATACTCGTGAAGAAAAATGACACCACGCAAAATCATTCTTGAAATTGTTCACTTTTCGCTTTTATACATGAAGCTGGTTTATTGTACAGGCTTGCATTAATAGTTATGAATAGTTCAAAGATCAATGTGCACTTAGTCGAGGCCGTACTATTTTATAGTTTAAAGATTGGATTGACTCACGTGCAGCATACTTGAGTCAGGCGCCCCTAACCTTATTATAATTCGTATTAACCTTTACTTAAATGGAGGTATGTTATAAGTATTTGGATGTTGTTTGAATTCGCGTAGTAATATTATACTCGCCATTAACTGAAATTTTCTATCATCTGTAGTCATCTAGGGGCCACTTCTCTATAGTAAGAACCTTTACTAATTTCTCTTTGTTTAAGTCGTCACAACAGGTTCCCCTTGCAACGTGGCGCCCGAGCAGATGACTCTGGGAAGTGTAGCAAATAGAAATTATATCAATATTATTTTCATGTATACAGCTTATTTTGGCAATGTTCTCGGAAAATTACATACATATGATTGGAATATAGTTGTGGTATGCCGGAACTGTGCTTACATGTCATTATATTGGTAAGTTGTTCTGTTCACGCCCCACTCTAAGTGACCTGTCTATGTCTTCTGGATATAAATTAATTTTCAACTTCTCCCGAACTACATTGTAAACCAGCATACTGGTATCTTCACCTTTGGCCTCTGGGCTACTGTAAATTCTTAAATTATTTCTCCTGGAGTACTGTTGATCACATTTCTTGGTTAAAAATCAACGTTTTTGTTGGCGTCCTTTATTTGAAGTTCGTATAAAGAACATTTTTCTTATCGAGCTTTTGGTTAATCTTGTATTCCAACGAATCCGACAAGGCCTTCGTAATTGATGAATTCATCTTCGTCTGTTATCGTAGAAATACGTTGAGTTTCTTGAGACTTCGTCTTACTCATGGTTGGCACATATTCGATTGGTTTATCGAACGTACCCTTAGCTTTTAACTCCAGTAACAAAACACTCAATTAATAACCCACAGCAAAATTTATATTTTTTAATTCGCACTTTGGAACAATACAGACGTTTACTGATTGCAAAATAATTTTCTTCACTCAATTTGGGCACCAAACTGGAAAAAAACTTGGGCAGCCTTATACGCGCAAATATTCACACGCCCCATTACTCTCTAATATATAAGACACTAATTGATAATGTTTTGATTATGTGATAAGTTTTTCATGATGCGGCGAGAATATTATGCTCCCTAGGAAAAATTGAAGTGGTTCACGTTAACGCTCGTTTATAGAAGGATGTTGCAGAAAAATTGGTGGGTGGGTAGATTTTCCGTTTTAATCGCATTTGAGATACCTGACTTTTTTACGATAGGAGGGTTATTGAAATTATTTATTTCAATCATCGTGATTTAACTTTTTGATAGAGTTTGCTTATATAGCAAACGGGAGGTTTCTGGAAAGTTCTCGAAAATTCCCGAATCTCCAGAAAGAACGTGTCACATTCGCCCCGATGTCTTGGATACTCGCTACGTAACCATTGTTTAACGAATAAACAATGATATAACAAATGCAGTAATGGAGAAGCGGACAGCTATTTTCGGTGAGTTGACATCTTTAAAAACCTTAATACCTAACTGACAAAACGGCAAATTTACCTCTTTGGCATCGAACAAATGCACATCCATGTCTTCCTAATTAATTTTTGTTTTGCACACAGCAATCTTGATATCTTTTACAAGACGTCCTCGAAATTTCATAAAATATCTCTGACCTTTTGAATTTTCTCTCAATAAATTTTGTGAATCTTATTGCCAACATTCATGTTGTGATATAATACTGACATCAAATTGACGTAATCAAGGGGTTAAATCTTGCCGCATTCCATTTACTAAGTTCAAATAATTTATATCATAGAACGTATTTTACCACGGAGGGCAGCACGTGACGATAAGGTTTTCAATACATTCATTGTTCAAACCTTCCAAAACTACAGTACATTACAGAACTATAACATTCTTTGGTGTAGGTGTCGACATGTAAAATGAAAAGCTTAAAGTTACCAAAAATCCGTATTGCTTGCATTTACAGGGATTTACCCGTAAATATTATAGAATACACTTTTTATTGCCGATACATATATGTAGATTCCCACTTATTCGTATTTGCAGTGACGGTGATGGACTGATGGTGACGCAGTATGAACGGTAGAGGACGGCATAGTCAACAAGCACATACGTAAGTTTTTTTTTCATTCATTTCTTTTTCTTGTGCACAGTCCGATGATGGTCTTTGGCTTTGGTAGTCTATATTCAAAGGTGTGTCGACTCTGTGGTTAATATCCGCACTTATAATTTTACATACATTTTTTTGTAATACGTTTGAATTAGGCAAATATTTTATAGTAGTGTGCTTCATTTACGTTTGAAAAATAGGTTTATTTGTTACCTATGATATCATTGTTTCACCTTTTGTTTATTCATTTAATGAATAAAGGATGCTAATTAATACTCGGTATTAGCTTTTAATACCTAGTTACAAAATAATATATTCAAAGGTAGTCACTGATTTTGGTTTAATAATTATATCCAAGAATTAAGATCATCGAATTCGAAATGATATCGATGATGATGTAATGCAAACATTATGGGTACCTAATGATTGAGAGCGGGACAATAACGTTAATAATGTCTGATAATTTAAAGCAATAACGATATATGTATATTACCCAGTCATCATTATCGTTAATCGGGTTTTCCGATTAACGATGGTAATTCCATTTATACTACATATTACGTATATCTGTGGTATTACCATCACTTTTTTAACGACCATATTAAGTCCACAGTTTTTCCTGTTCCCAATTCACTCCTGACGGACGGACGGACAAAAATTAAACGTAATTAATTATTACATTAATTATACGTAATATATCTGTGGATCCTTCGATATTTCGTTGTACCGGTTTATTAATATTTGCTCTTGTATCGGAATGTATGGGTGGGTTGGCCTGAATCACAATCTCCGCTTTAAACACTCAAATGCATGCGAAAAAAGGCCTTTAAAACACACGCGCGTTAAATTGGTCAAAATTATTATTTATACACAAATTTTTTTGGGAAAAAGATCAAAACTCGATTGATCGATGACCAAGAAATGATACATGTCTATTTTTGGCGACCAAAATATTTTTATCCAAAGGATGTCAAAATGGTTATTTATGCATCGATTTTCTTGGGAAATTCAATTGCGCAATGTAATACCCAAGAAGTGGTCCATGTGTATTTTGGTTCACAAAAAATGTATCGTTATTTATGTACCGTTTTTCTTGGGAAGAAGAACACGTATCGACTTCTGGTTTTCGCTATAAGAAAGCTTATGGTTCCAAATGGACAACGATCAAGATTTAATTTTAGTATCCATCACGTCTTTATTGCCCAATATCGATCTAAATCCTTATTTATGCACCAATTTTTTTTTTGGGAAAAAGACCAAACTCGATTGCTCGATGCCCAAGAAATGTGTGTATCGTATCAACTTAAAAAGTTGGAGGTCATTTGTAGATCTCTCTTCGGATCTCTCTTATGACTGTACTACGAATTGCAGGTGGTAATAAAAATAAAATGATAATAATACAGGGTGAGTTTTTTTTCATAGTCACCTTGGGGATCTCACAAACCGTACGAGATGCAAAGTCGCTTAAATAGACAAAGTTACGCACACTTTCATGCTGATTAATTTTCCCTTTCAAAGTTTCTTGTAGCTCTACACATGGTTGAAGTTTTTATTTCTTGTTTTGTTAATTTTTTTAAGAAATTTTGATTATTTATGAGCATTATGTTACATTGTGTTAGCAAATTTTAAGAGCGGGTAAAGTGGGTTCCAAAAGCCGGCTAAGCCCGCGCTCTTGCCCCCCTCTGGCTAGGGCCCTGACTTGCACACAATGAAAATCTCAAATTTTGGACCGCTTTTGAAGCCATCGTAGCATCACCTCTTTATAGCTCATCATAATCGTAGAAAAAATAGTGTATGAAACTCGCATTTAGTGGCTATTAAGACACTCGTATTCATTACGAAACTCACCAAGGCTCCTTTCGTACTTCTCATACTCGTGTCTTAATAGCTGTCATTAAATGCTCATTGCATTCTATACTCTTCGAATACGCCTTACCAGGGGACTGAGTATCGGCGGTTGGATTGTTATGCTTTCCTTCTCTCTTAGTGTTTAGTTTAATTGCAGTGGAATTTTTTTTTAATTTTCAAAAACTAATTTCAGATTTGTAATTTTCATGCTCAAAAACCCCCAGATACCGAATTTCGTCGAAATCAGAATTTTTTTCGCACCCCCCATTTAGGGATGCGCGCCTTCGGAGTTGGAATTTTGAAAAAAAAATTGCGAAATGGGAATGGGTATACCCGAAAACCTATTCAAAGACGTGCCACCAATCTTTCTAACTGATGGTTGCTAAGAAAAAAATTAAGGAATTGCGAATTTCACCGTTTTTTGAGGCTGGCTTCTAAACGAAAGTCGGTCCAATACACCACTGAATGTGACAAAGAAATCAATGTATAGCCACTACAGTCCATAAAATTGAAAATTCTCTTATCGGACACAGAATCTTATATGGTACGCCCAAACACACAAATTTTGAAAGAAGATAATACTTACATAACGCTATACTGTGAAGGTTATTTGCGCTTAAAACATTACCAGCATTTGTTATGGTATCTCAATTGCATTTACGCCACGTACCTATTTCTCTTTCAATAACGCTAAGTGTAAACAAAACGTGATTATTTATAATATAAATAAGAAGTAGTACATATAAAAGAGATATTCAAGCGATTGAAGGTATTGATTTCTAAGTCACCAGAAAATGAAGTTTCTACCGTTAATCTTCGTTGCAGCGATAATACTCTCGTGCACGGTAAGTCCTTATGGATTAGAAAAATCACCAGCATAGTAGGTTATGATTTCTAGATGTTCGCCTCATCTCGCTGTATTAGAAAGTCTAATCACTGTCACGGTGGAAAGCACTGGGATTACGACGATGACCACCATGGTTCTTGGTATAAAAATGATGGATGCCGGGATGATTGGTGGAGACCTAAACGGCACTATAGGGAGCCGTATAAGCATTCGCACAACGAACATCATGGACATTGGAATGATTGGGACCACAAAGACTGTTCTTGTTGGTGATCCAAGTAGCTAAGTAGCTTAAATGTAATATGCGCCTTTGGAAATCTTTCTTGATTCTTATTTGGATGAAATAAAGTATCATACTCTTGCGAAATAGTTATTTGTTTATAATTAAGGAAAGTACCCCGTTTTCAGACTCAGGCGCATTGTATACAGGTGAAAAGCTTGTTCTCCTCTGGAGACGTTGTAACGATGCCTATTTCCATTCTTGCTATTTAAGGTGTAACAGTCAAAGGTCCAGTATGAAATAAGGTTTTGTAAAAAAAAAGGTATATAAATGAACCTGCAGTGTAATGACGATGGCTGCATTGTCATTAATAATTAAATATGTGAGTTGCTGGATGAACAATAATCTTCATGTTTCGTCTAAGTAAAATTTCGATCTCGGTCGCGACCGTTTGGGAAGAGAGTGTGCTAAAAAAATACTTGGTATAGCCCCTGTCAAAATGTCGACACTTACAATTATTTGGAACGGTTCGCGTGCGGTAAGTGACTTCATCTAAAGGTACGTGGGGGATGGGCTTTCGATTTTTCTGTTTTTCTGAAATTCAATTTTTCACAAGATACTTTAGGGTTTTATCTACCTCTACATTCGACTAACTGGTTCCACAAAAGCTTCTCGATTTCATCCGTCCACATCTTCTTATCCGCATTCTTTTTTGCTTCAATGGTATACTCGCTGTAATCGTTTGGTGCAAATCGTTTCAGTACAAACAACAGTGGTTCATAATCACATGTCGCAATTCCCATCTCGTCGAGCTTAATATTGCTTCTGTACGTAAAAAAATTTACATTTTTCTACAATAAATGAGTGACTAGAGCGTACTCAATTCAACGTACAATATCATACCGCGTCTTGCGTTGCGTAGATAAGCATTCTTTCAAACAGGAAGAGCACGACATCAAACTTTTTCGGTTTCAGAACGGTAAAGTTTTCCTTCAGTAGTAACGCTCCTTGTTGCAATAAATCAATAGGACATCCCCTTATCGAATCAACTGCAATGTACAAATCTCCAGTGGCCATTTGGGTTCTTACTATTTCGACTGCATATGTAATATAAATGCAAGTTCGATTTTCTCTGCGCAGCTCTTTCTCGATCTGTTCCAAAAATAGTTTGTACTTTCCTAACCTTTGGATTGGGGTAAGCAGATGACTTCCCAGTCCCAGCTGATCATTCAATTCTCTTTGCCGTTGCTAAAAAACTTCAAAACTTTTATTCGAATTCTACTAAGCAGCTTACCATTATCACATCTCTGAAGTTTACAAGGTAGTCATCGACAAGTTTCTTGTTCCTGCAATACCCAGGATACATCTCAAACAGAGACCTCTAAAAAACGCTACAATTTGAACTACCCAAGTGAAACACCAACTTACAAAGTTAATGAAAACCTTTCCAATATCTTCATAATTTTTTGATTTTTTAAGCGATTTGTAAAACTTCATGGTACCTTTCATAATCTCCTTAATAGCTGTAAAGGCGTCACCAATTTTAGTAGACTTTTTGGGAACAACTTTTTTGGTTCGCAAGTATGGAAGGTAATCCTATAAATATTGAGGGGGGATCAATAACGTGTTCACATTGTCACTTACCACTAAGATGCATTCGAGATGATTTATGTACTTCTTTTCTGTTTCAACGATCTCTTCCATAATGTAATTAATTCTGAAATGTAACATATTACGACGGCATTCTGAATAATTTTTATTACTTGGACTTCACTTTCTCTTGTTGCTCTTCTTTGGATGTCCTTCTGTGTGCCAACTTAATTTTTTGTAGAAGACTAGTCACCTTTGCGATTCTCGGATTGTGAAAGCTATCGTAGATGGTTTCTGATTTTACAGCAGCAGTGTCTCTCATGGTCATGGGATTACCAATCTCTACAGATAACTCTTCAAACTCATCATCATCGTCATCATCCGGAATTAATGCGTTTAGTTCTTCCGCCGTAAAATATTCCGCATTCTTACGTCTGCGTTCCATACGATCCTCAGGTTGTTTGTCGACTGAAGTGATTAAGTTTTGCGCGTCTTCATTCTCATGAGAGACTTTCGTTGAGTTGGAATTTTCGCTCAAAGAAGTAACCTCCATTGGCGAGTCTTGGACCACGTTAACACTAGTCATCAGTAATTCGTAGCCCTTTTGGTTATAAGCTTCAATGAAGTCGGTGTTGATTAAGTCTTCCTTCAGAACTTCCCCAAAATCTTCACTGAGGTCGCCATTTTGTTCATCCAGGTATATGTCAACAATTTCGCTGCCGTCCAACTCGTCTAGTACTTCTTGTGGGTAATGTTGCGTTTCAGTAGAAGTGTTGTAGTCGAAAACGTGAAAAATTCGACTAACATAGCGCGGTTCGTCGTAGTTATTTTCCATTTCGACTACGGTTTGTTGCATTTCCCTAAGTTTACTTTCAATTTCAGCGAACTCGTCCTTTTCAGAGCATATCGGTGTAATTGGTCCGGAAGGCCTATGATCAGGTTGTGCGATCGTCTCATTGAGAATTGGATTTTGCAAGTTACATTTTTGAGTCATTACTTGGTCGCTCTCTTGAGCGGAAGTTGGCTCTAGGCGCTCAGGCTCATCTTGCTGAATTAATTCTAGTGATTCTGATCGGTTACAAAATTTATTAGTATTCCTTCGATCTAAAGGTGCACTCTCAGTATCGTATTGCCGCTTGTTAAGTTCATTAATGCGTCGTTTTACTATATTATTGGCAATACAGAGTGTCGGCTTTTCACAACTTATCTCGCAACCCATAGCTTTGTAAGTAGCACTGACACATTTTTCATGCGAAAGTACATTCTCGTACTCGAGCACTAAACTTTTCACTTCGCCAAGTTCACGATTTCTTCTAATATTACCGTAATCACGTTTTCTTACACCACAACTTACTAGTGACATGTTAAACTTTTCGATTACACATTCCACTTATCAAACTGCACCTTTCGTAGAGAAACACCACAAATTAGTTCACACTTATTTGCAATATTACAAACATGTATTATCTTATCACACTTATCAGCAGAATAGATAAGGTCAGTGCCTAAACGTAGATGCAGGGTGTCATGTAGTCATAGATAGGCAACTCCTTATTCATTAACCCAAATTGACACGATCAAAACTGAAGGACATGGTAGCTCGCTGATAACGAGTCATTCTATATGAAAGTAATACGTATGCATATTATGAACTTTGTAGCATTGAGTATTCTTTCAAGTCTGCGACGAACTTGCGGCAGTCCGGTTCGTTAGAAACCAACTCGAATTAATTAAATCAAAATTCCCAAACGGAAACGAAAGCAAATGCCAAACTCAACTCACCTAAATTGAAAATACATGTTCCTTCTACGAGTATATACACCTTTTATTTTATTTTTTTTTATTGATTAAATTCCATAAGCAATCAGAATAATATTACATTCTATGAGCTTATTGTCTGTCATTATCAGGCGTGAGTAGAGGGACTCCCAGTGGAGTCAGTCCGCTATTGATCTACGAGATCTTTCGGCCATTTCTTCTTAAGGCGTCTGGGCGGAGGATCTTCTGCGAGAGGTGTCACGAGCTCGTTGGGGTGAAGTTCCAATGTTGTTTGATGCTTCGCAGCATATTGATTGATTATCTCAGTCACGTAGGGAATGTTTAGGTCCGAGTGAAGAGTTTGGTTGGACACATACCAAGGAGCGGCTGTGATAATACGGAGAGTTTTTGATTGGAAGCGTTGAATAATATCAGTGTTAGATCGACTTGCACAGCCCCATAACTGACAACCGTAGGTCCAAATGGGCCGAATTATACACTTGTATATCAGTATTTTGTTGGCTAGTATTAACGACGACTTCCGTCCGATGAGCCAATATAGCTTTCTCAACTTTAGGTCCATTTCTTTGCGTTTTTTGATAATGTGAGTTTTCCACGTCAACCTGCTGTCTAGATGGAGTCCCAAGTATTTGACTTCCTTGGACTGAGGAATGGGTATATTATGGAGAGTGACAGCTGGGCAGATTTCGTGTCTGGTCGTAAATGTAATGTGTGTCGATTTACTTTCATTCACTTTGATTCTCCACTTAATTAGCCATTGTTCTATTTCGTTTAAGATGGGACTGTAAAGAAGCTGATGCTGCTAACGGGTCTTCATTACATGTAAGTATCGCTGTATCGTCAGCAAATGTGCCAATTTTCGTTTGTTCTGTTGTAGGTAGGTCGTAGGTGTATAGGAGGTATAGTACACTACCTTGGGGCACACTTGCCTTTAGTGCCATGCTTAACTTGAAATGTTCTACACTACCTTGGGGCACACTTGCATTGATGTCTTTGATTTGGGATATTTCCTTGCCATGCTTAACTTGAAATGTTCTATGAGTAAGATATGATTACTTAATTTAGACTAAGGATTCTGTTAAAGAGTATTTGTAGGAAACGAATTCCGTGGTCAGGTAACTGTTTGAGAACTATTGCCGTTATCAGGTCGTGGCCTGGAGCTTTTTTGTCTTTTAACAATTTTATCTCCTGTACAATTTCTCGAGGGTTAATTTTACATATTGGCGGTGACAGCTGGAGTGGAGATTGTAGTTCTTCTTCAACTTCCTCGTCTATTTCATTAGAGTTTGGTTGGAAGACGCCTTCTAGGTAATGTGCAAATGCTTCTGCTTTTTCTTTGTCGGACCTCAGCCATGAAGTTCCTTGATCGCGTATTGGAGGAATATGTGTGTTTGGTTTTTTTATGCCTTTAGTGGCTTTCCATATTGTATTGTCGGTGATAGTTAGTGATTTCAAGTATGCTTGGAATGTCTCGTTCCGAACAGCTTGTAATTTGTTTCGGAGTTTATTGTTAAGTTGATTGAATTTCCTCTTATCTTCAACACTGTGTGTGCGGTGCCATTGTGCCCTTGCTTTTCTTTTCTCCTTTACAATTTCCATGATTTCGTTAGGAATATTGGGGCTATGAATTTTAATGTTTTTTGGCTGGGGTGTAGCGGTCCAGCCCGCATTCTGTATCGTAGTTATGAAGTGGTTTGTAGCATATTCTAGGTCTTGTGTGGTTTTCAGGCTTAAATTACAGTCGAGGTGTTTCTCGATGTGCACTTTGAAGGTATCCCAATCCGTCTTCCTGTTACTGATCGATGGGCTGGGTGTTTTATAGATGATACTTGTGCTAATTGTGGCTATAATCGGAGAATGATCAGACGTAAGATCGTAATTTGAAGTAGCATCCATGTAATTAGCGGAAAGCCCTTTGGTGATGAAAAAGTCTAAAAGATCTGGAACTTTTCCTGGATCCGATGGCCAATAGGTAGGGCTCCCAGTAGATAGAAATTTATAATTGTTATCGGTAATAAGTTTAAGAAATTCTCTGCCTTTTGTTGTAGTTAAGCGGGATCCCCAATGGGTATGCTTGGCGTTAAAGTCTCCACCTGCTATAAATTTTTGGCCTAGCGTGTCAAAAAATGGCTGCAACATTTGGTGAGTCAATTTGTGTCTCGGAGGACAGTAAATGGCTGAAATTAGTAATGGAGTTGTGAGCTTTTCAACTTGGATTGTCGTGGCTTGTAAGAATTTTGTTTTGTAATCTGGTAGTTCCGAGTGAATAATAGAATTTCGAATAATTATAGCTGAACCGCCATGCGTAGTGCCATCAGGGTGTTCGGTGTGGTACACAGAATAGTAGGGTATTTTTATGTACGATGTGAAATGGCTTTCTGAGATAAGAAGAATGTCTATATGGTTAAGTTTGAGAAAATTGCCAGTTTCAAGGTGTTTATATTGCAAACCATTGGCATTCCATAATGCTATTCGAAGAAAGTTAGCCATTAGTGAGTTAATTTGGTTATGACGGTGCTTAACATGTTCAGGATTATACTATTTTGTTGAAGAAGCTGGTTAAATAAGTTCTTGAATTCATCAAGGAATTTTTGAAGTGTCAAGTCTTGGATTGGGTAGGGATGGTTTGAGGCAATATGGGCGTAACTTAGATTAGATGGATGGGGTTGATTAGGGAGTTGTTGAGTAGGTTCTTGTCGGTTCAGGTTTGGAAAATTTCGTTCTGTTAGTTGAATTGGAAAGGGTCTTCGAGTTGTTAATTGATTATTTGGTTGGTATTTTTTTTTGAAGTTCTTGATATACTAAGCACCCCTTGTAGTTGGCCGGGTGATCTCCCTCGCATAGTGCGCATGTGGCTTTGTGTCCCTGGTTTTAGCACAAGTCATAGTATTGTGGGGTCCCCCACATTTTACGAAAATTTGACAATTTCTGGAAGGTAACGCTGGGCTATCTAGACAGCACAGAGAACTCTTAAACTCGTATAATAACGCTCAACATTTAAACCTTTTTAATTAGTTGTCCGGCTCCCTGACATCCTAAAAATCTGGAACATGACTTATACAGCTTGTTAATTTAGCGCGCTTCCAATGACACTACACAACCTAATCAGACGCCGCCGTTTGCCTAATTAGTTACCGGTAATTATGCGTACTTAATTTTCTACACTCGGAATTCCAATAATATCCATTGTTACTTGCAATATTCAGCTCAAGCGAAAAAGGTGTGCGTTATCTACGTTGTACAGCGACCTTGCAAATTTAATCCTAATTTTAAATTAGCACCGCGAAACTAAAATCGGCTAATAATTAATAAACGGGACCGAAATCACAAAATATTAATTTTCTCTCGTCTTCCAAATGACGAGAGCTTTCGGATGCTGCAACAATAATTAAAATATCCCCACGGGGACAGTTATGATCCACAGAACAAACATAACTGATCTAGAATGAAGAGCGAGAAAGGACAGAAGCGAAAGTGGGAAAGACGGCGCATGGAAGGTAGAGGAAGACGCAAAAATGGAATAAAGAATGGAAAACTGGTAGAAGTGTAACCCAGACTTCCGTATGCACGGAAATTTGTACAGGAATTTTTTAATTGTTAAGAATACGTAATCTATATTTAGGTATGAATGTAATCGTGAGCGAAAGCGAATATGTGTGTTTTTGAATTGCAAGGAAATATCTGGTTCAATTACAACTATCCCAGTTGGTACATTATGTAACCGTGAGGAAGCTAAAAGAGAATTCGCGATATAAAGTTATATTGCGATTAGAAATACGATTTTATTTCACATGTAAATAGAATAGTATCATAAATGATGCTTTACGTATGCATATTCGAAATTAGGCAACTGAAGTATGAGTCTGTTCGTGTAGTCCGTGACCGGTCCGTGCAAAGCCCACTTGAAAAGTCAATTTCCTTCCCTAGCACCGTTCCTTCCGTTCCCATCCCTAACTTTACCTATCCTTACATTCCAGTCCTCTGGCTGAAAAGGCTCTGGCAAGCCTGATCAGCCCGCCTCCGGCGTCCCTGTATTCAAGGATGTCGGAGGAATGAAACACGACGACCTTTCCCAGATCGAATGAACGAGAAGCCACGTCTAAATTTTGGTCGGTCCGTGTGCGTCCAACTACATCCAAGTTCTGGTGCGGAACCAGACCATTTTATATTGAAGCATCCCGTCAATTTCACATACGATTATAAAATTTTTTCGACCAATGTGAAATATGATTTTTGTGAATGAATGTGATTTAACCATTTGCCTTACAGGATCATTCCGCCTCAACCTCATTTATTAAAATGTGTTCTGTTACAGCAAAGGCGATATTGTCCAACTTTAGTTTTAGTGAGTGTGTAAAGACATTGTTCAATACAAACCTAACCTATTCATCAGCAGTTTTTTCGTACAGATGAGGAAGATGTGACAGTATGTTACTTTTTTGTGAAAATGCTCGCGTCTTGATTTTTATGACTTGAAATATGGTCTATCGCTGAAGTAATGCATTGATTTCTTTTGGTTTATGGGAATAAGCTCCACCCAAGAACGTTTCTGTATCCCAGCGTGAACATCTGTTGTCACTAATGCTGATGATGTGAATGCAATAGAGAAACATAACCGGCATTTCTCTTCCATGAGATTAAAGCACCAAAAGTATTGACCTGAA